GTTATTTCCTCACTTTAGTACAATTGTTTATGTAGCATCCATCTTTCTGGCTATACTGGAAGCCCTATAAGGGCTCATGGGACTGTGTACTTTGCTCACGGCAGAAACCGGTGGGCCTAGCACCATGCTTGGCTCACAGCAGGTGTTCAGAAAATGCTGGAGCATAAATGGATGAACAATTTGTGACAGGCTACCCCTGGGGGATGCCTGGAGTCCTTCCTCAGACCATTACCTAGGAGACGAGGTGTCCTCCAGGAGACGCTGCCTGGGCTGGCTCTGGGTGACCAGGTGTGTGTGGGGAGGACAGAGAGTTCACACTAGGGCTGGACTTACAGGTCAGTGACGTATTCAGGGAGGTGGCTTGGGATGCGGGCCAGCTTCTGGTTGGAGCAGTCCACGATGGTGCCCTCGCAGCGGCACTTCTCTGGGCACATGAGGTCCATGAAACATTCACTGCTGAACCTGCTGCGGTAATCCTCGGAGCCTAGGCAGGGCCAAAGAGGGGGCGTCAGTGTCACCGGGTCCCGCACAGCACCAGAGGTTACAGGGGGTGCAGGTGGGGAGGAGAGAATGGCCGGGCAAGTCAGGTGCGGGGGGCGTGGGAGGGTCCAGTGACAGACATGGCACTGCCTTCAGTTTGGCACCTTGCTGGTGCTCTCCCTGTCCCCAGTTCACTGCTGTCAATTGGGTCTTTGTTCCTCACCACCGTCCTCAACATCCTTAGGGAAATCTGGCTCGAGATCTGGGGGCCCTTACACTTTATGAGTCACAGATCCTTTTGAGAAGCTGATGAAAGTTACGGGTGTTCTCCTAGGAGAAATGCTCCCAGGCACATGGGTAGAATTCAGCCTGCAGTTCTGTGGGAACTACCGTGATGCCCCCCATCCACGGACATTCCTTAAATGTTCCTGAAAATCCAAATAGATTTTGACGGGACTTTGATGACGGGGGGACTCCCGAGCAAATAAGGTATGGAAAGGGCTAGTCGACTCAGTCGTTGTCAGGGCCCTAAGAGGTAAGAGCAGGAGTACAGAAGGTCAAGTGTGTGGCAATAAATGACCACTGACACCTGCTTCAACCCTGGGAAGATAATCATGAGGACTGGGGGCCTGGGAAATGAGCCCACAGCATAATGCTTGGGAATTTTTTGTTTTTTTGGTAAGAGAAGCCAGATGTATAAACAAGACTGGTAATAAATTTTAAAACACCTTGGGGACAAACAAAATGCATCTGAGGGTTAGATTTGACCTCTGTCTTTGAGAGTAAAGTTCTATTTAACTGTAGCAAGAGGTCAGTTCCTGTGAGCTAAAAGTAGGAGCTAAGATCTACTGTTTTGGAATTGAATTTCTCTCAGGGTTGCAAAGGAATGTTGCAGGACTGACAACCTGACGTCTCTGAGGGATGGCCGGGGAGCTGCACTAATGATCGGAAATGATCTCCCAGCACCCAGGCAAACACTAGTGTGACCATGAAATCATCCCAGAGG